TCTTGTAGCTTGGTGGAAGCGACTGAAGGATTCTGTCAATGACTGTGTCATCCGGGAGATTAACTCCCAGCTGTGTCAAGCAGTTATGTAACCCAGACATTGTGAGTATGTGCTCACTGACAGAACTATTTTCCTCCATCTTACAGCTAAAAAACTTGTCGGAGACTTCATATCTCTCGACCCGGGCATGAGCTTGGAAAACCATTTTCAGCTCTTCGAACATCTCATATGCTCTGTGTCTCTCAAAACGTTTTTGGAGCCCCGGTTCTAAGCTGTAAAGCATGCCGCACTGAACGAGGGAGTAATCATCAGCACGTGTCTGCCAAGCGTTCATAACGTCTTGGTTCTGTGGGACGGGTGCGTCACCTAGCGGTGCTTGTAGGACATAATCTTTCTTGGCAGCTATGAGGATGATCCTCAGGTTCCGGACCCAGTCCGTATAGTTGCTGCCATCGTCTTTCAGCTTGGTTTTCTCTAGGAACGCGTTGAAGTTGAGGACAACGTTGACCATTTGATCTACAAGGCATATTGTAAAGATTTTAGACTAAGTTCATGATAATTAAGTTCATCTAATCAAATTATTCAATGAACTCCCACTCAGATAGACATCCCTCCAGTCATCTAAGTATAACATGATCCGAGTTAACTAGGCTGTGTCCGATCATCACGTGAGACGAACTAGTCAACGTCGGTGAACATCTTCATGTTGATCGTATCTTCTATACGACTCATGCTCGACCTTTCAGTCTTCTGTGTTCCGAGGCCATGTCTGTACATGCTAGGCTCGTCAAGTCAACCTAAGTGTTTGCATGTGTAAATCTGTCTTACACCCGTTGTATGTGAACGTTGGAATCTATCACACCCGATCATCACGTGGTGCTTCGAAACAACGAAATGTCGCAACGGTGCACAGTTAGGGGGAACACTTTCTTGAAATTATTATGAGGGATCATCTTATTTACTACCATCATTCTAAGCAAACAAGATGCAAAAACATGATAAACATCACATGCAATTAAATAATAATAGTGACATGATATGGCCAATATCACATAGCTCCTTTGATCTCCATCTTGGGGCTCCATGATCATCTTGTCACCGGCATGACACCATGATCTCCATCATCGTGTCTCCATGAAGTTGCTCGCCAACTATTACTTCTACTACTATGGCTAACATGTTTAGCAATAAAGTAAAGTAATTTACATGGCGTTTCTCAATGACACGCAGGTCATACAAAAAATAAAGACAACTCCTATGGCTCCTGCCGGTTGTCATACTCATCGACATGCAAGTCGTGATTCCTATTACAATAGCATGAACATCTCATACATCACATATATATCATTCATAATTCATCACAACTTTGGCCATATCATATCACAAAGCACTTGCTGCAAAAACAAGTTAGACGTCCTCTAATTGTTGTTGCAAGTTTTACGTGGCTGAAATAGGGTTCTAGCAAGAACGTTTTCTTACCTACGTGAAAGCCACAACATGATTTGTCAACTTCTATTTACCCTTCATAAGGACCCTTTTCATCGAATCCACTCCAACTAAAGTGGGAGAGACAGACACCCGCCAGCCACCTTATGCAACTTGTGCATGTTAGTCGGTGGAACCGGTCTCACGTAAGCGTACGTGTAAGGTTGGTCCGGGCCGCTTCATCCCACAATACCGCTGAAGCAAGATAAGACTAGTAGCGGCAAGAAAGTTGACAACATCTACGCCCACAACAAATTGTGTTCTACTCGTGCAAAGAGAACTACGCATAGACCTAGCTCATGATGCCACTGTTGGGGAACGTTGCAGAAAACAAAAAATTTCCTACGGTTTCACCAAGATCCATCTAGGAGTTCATCTAGCAACGAGTGATCGGATTGCATCTACATACCTTTGTAGATCACGCGCGGAAGCGTTCAAAGAACGGGGATGAGGAAGGCGTACTCGACGTGATCCAAATCACCGGAGATCCTAGCGCCGAACGAACGGCACCTCCGCGTTCAACACACGTACGGTCAGCGTAACGCCTCCTTCTTCTTGATCCAGCAAGGGGAAGGAGAGGTTGAGGAAGATGGTTCCAGCAGCAGCACGACGGTGTGGTGGTGATGGAGCTGTAGTACTCCGGCAGGGCTTCGCCAAGCTCTATGGAGGAGGAGGATGTGTTGGAGAGGGAGAGGGAGGCACCAAAGGCGTGGTGTGAGAGGCCCTCCTTCCCCCACTATATATAGGGAGCCTAGGGGGGGGGGGCGCCGGCCCTAGGAGATGCAATCTCCTAGGGGGGCGGCGGCCAAGGGAGGAATCCCTCCTCCCCAAGGCACCTAGGAGGTGCCTTCCCCCTTTAGGACTCTTCCTTTCTTGATCTCCTGGCGCATGGGCCTCTTGGGGCTGGTGCCCTTGGCCCATATAGGCCAAGACGCACACCCCTACAGCCCATGTGGCCCCCGGGTCAGGTGGCCCCACCCGGTGGACCCTCGGGACCCTTCTGGTGGTCCCGGTACAATACCGGTGACCCCGAAACTTGTCCCGACGGCCGAAATAGCACTTCCTATATATAATTCTTTACCTCCGGACCATTCCGAAACTCCTCGTGACGTCCGGGATCTCATCCGGGACTCCGAACAACATTCGGGTTACTGCATATACATATCCCTACAACCCTAGCGTCACCGAACCTTAAGTGTGTAGACCCTATGGGTTCGGGAGACATGTAGACATGACCGAGATCGCTCTCCGGTCAATAACCAACAGCGGGATCTGGATACCCATGTTGGCTCCCACATGCTCCTCGATGATCTCATCGGATGAACCACGATGTCGAGGATTCAAGCAACCCCATATACAATTCCCTTTGTCAATCGTTATGCTACTTGCCCGAGATTCGATCGTCGGTATCCCAATACCTTGTTCAATCTCGTTACCGGCAAGTCACTTTACTCGTACCGTAATGCATGATCCCGTGACCAGACACTTGGTCACTTTGAGCTCATAATGATGATGTATTACCGAGTGGGCCCAGTGATACCTCTCCGTCATACGGAGTGACAAATCCCAGTCTTGATCCGTGTCAACCCAACAGACACTTTCGGAGATACCCGTAGTATACCTTTATAGTCACCCAGTTACGTTGTGACGTTTGGTACACCCAAAGCACTCCTACGGTATCCGTGAGTTACACGATCTCATGGTCTAAGGAAGGGATACTTGACATTGGAAAAACTCTAGCAAACGAACTATACGATCTTATGCTATGTTTAGGATTGGGTCTTGTCTATCACATGATTCTCCTAATGATGTGATCTCGTTATCAATGACATCCAATGTCCATAGTCAGGAAACCATGACTATCTGTTGATCAACGAGCTAGTCAACTAGAGGCTTACTAGGGACATGTTGGTGTCTATTATTCACATATGTATTACGATTTCCGGATAACACAATTATAGCATGAATAAAGACAATTATCATGAACAAGGAAATATAATAATAATGCTTTTATTATTGCCTCTAGGGCATATTTCCAACTGTTCCATCAATGTAAGACGAAAGTTCTTGTGTAATGTAAGCATTGCAGTGATCTCTCTCCCTCCCTCTCTCTCTCTCTCTCTCTCTCTCTCTAGTCCTTTAACATCGGATTTAACGTGCACGCATCGTAAAAAACTTATACGGTGTCGAATATTGTTGGTGGGTGCAACATCCACCTTATGGAGAAGGTTCTCGTGCACAAAAAAGGGCGCCTTCGGGTGGGTGTGCATTGTTCCGACAATGTAAGATGAGGTTCGCGTGAAATCCAACAATGAAGTTGTACCATATACCGCTCTCCCACCCGATAACAATCCGCTTTCTATCGCTCTCTCTATCTACTTAACACCCACTCGCTCTCTAGTTCTCTATCATGTAGACCAACGCGCACAAAGCAAAAAAAAGCTAGAGTGGGAGGGTACAATATTTTCTGAACAACAGCATGACCGGAGTTGGCGTTTCCATCGGCACGTCGCTCTTTTCTTGGTGTTAGTCTTCGTTGCCTTTGCCTCGCACGTGTTAGTCAGTTGATCTTGATCTACCATTCTATTTGTTTGCGTGTTTGCTCGATGATTTTACCAATAAGAGCATATACAAGCGCGGTCACCAAATCCAGCACTCCTCATATTGGTGCGTCCATGGCCGTGTCTCATAAATTATGTCCCTCATAACCATACAACGTACGGAATTTAATCTACGTAGATCAACGCCCGAGCAACAAACCTACTGAAGTCAGGCATAATTCACAGATAGGATCATCGAACAACCAAAATAAACAGTTTCCATCGATCGGACAATACTTAGACATAAGAAAAAATAACTAAATTATACGGGAAAAAGGATGGAGGAAATCACCATTTTCGCATCGACCCCTTCCCATTGCGGTCGACAGTGCTGCTCTGGCCGTCGGTATAGGCGTCATCCACCGGAGGGTCATCATCGTCGTCGTCAGAGCTTGATTCATCACTGACGTCTTACGCGTCATCCGACAGGTCCATCTGCACGCCGGCTAGCCCTCCGGAGCAAGTGCTCCTTCTCCTTGGCGTGCCTCCTTGCCTTCGCCGCTGCCTCGTGTTCCAACAGCTCGATTGCGATCCGGAATGCTTTAGCAATCTTCCCCCGGAGCCGCCATGCATCCAACCCACCATTGTCAGGAAGCGGCGGAGGACGTGTTGAGGCGCCTGTCTGTAGGTGCTTTCAGCGATCTGTGGTTGTCAGAAGCAGTACTTGGCATCTATAGATGATGTTGCTATCCCCGCAAAAAAAGGATGTTGTTGTTAGTTAATTACGTCGATGTTATTTTTGGTTATCCACATATATATATGTGCATCTGTTCACTGAACAGCTGCGATCGTTGCTGCACCGTTTACTGGTGAAAAGAAGATGCATGAGCGTGCGATACGGATACAAGATCTCCACTGGCCACCTGTGATTCCTCCTGATTCTTGGTCAAAATGTATTATACCACAAATGGTCAGGTTCAGAATCGTATCCGTGTGTCATTGTGAAGCGCGCCGTACCCATTTTGAGTCTGTCTGACACGTACTGCCGCCCCTGTACGTCCTGTTCATACACCGACGCATGGGACCGCGCGCCCTGGTTTCACGGCTTTAGTGTAACCATGGGTGTTGCACGCCGTCAGACTGTAGCGGGCAGCAGCCTGTGTGTGTGACGCATTTGTTTTAACCAAGTACTAGCTGGGAGCTACCAAAGCACACATCAGCCTTGGGTGAAAAACGTTGCGGTGCTAGAAACCAACACAACCCACACCCACCATCCATGGAGAACGTGTGCTCCCCCATGTCGTTTACCTCCTACCCAAACAACCGCCTGTTCATGCCCCACTGCGTTATTGAGTCCACACAGGCCATGGTCGGACGAGGGAATTCGCCTACATGTCTTACTATGCAGAAACTTTTCATTTGTGTAGCTTAAAGCGAAATACTGTACTTAGTAAATAAGCTAGGTCTATTAGACTGGTAGCACCGCAGTCAACAAGCTTTGTGCGCTGTAGTAGAAGCCATCCAGCCAGGAGCTAAGCTTTTCATTTTCTCGGAAAGGAACTGATTTCTACCAGAGCGTAAAATTCAGAGTAAACACATAGATCAAGTGCATCCATAATTCCTTAGTACGGACTGAGGCAGGATCTGTATGGCGCCCACATTATAACCGATGATTCTAAAATAACAACCAAAATGGATTTGCTTCTTCATGTAGAAAAGCACACCAAATGAATTAAAAGAGGGAATCAACTCTGAGGCCAATGAAATTACCAGATAGAAAAAACAGAACACCCTGTACGAATTTTTAGCCAGGAAAAAGACCGTGCATTCTTTTCTGGCATTCCATCAAACAGTTGACGCGCAGCTTGACTAGAGAACAATTCTCACAGACTGCAGAGAGTAAGATTCAGTCAAAACTAATTCAGTTGGACCATAACAAAATACATCAGTGCAGAAAAATGTAGACCGTGCCGTGGGAGTTGAAGCTGTTGCTCCTACTACTCTGGCCGCTGCAGCTTGTCGTTCCCTCTTCAAGACAACCAACTAAAAAATCATAGGGAAGAAGCAAGAACAGCAGAAGGCAGTTCTGCGCATGGCGAGCACAAGGCAGCACCGTCATGATTCTTGGTGAAGCATGGCGACCTCGAGGCAGAAGCTTGGGACATCAGACCACATCTAAGGCTAGTCACCTGCATCGTCAAATCCAAAATGCATCACACAGGAAACCAAACAAAAAAAAATTGATTAGGAGCAGGCCCGGATCAGGGAGCAGGCGAGGGGGAAATTAAGAACAATAACATTACATTCAGAGGGCTGCAGCTAGGAACAAAAAAGATAACATATACATCAGCAGACAAACTAGAAAGAATTGGATTCGTCAAGGTCCTGGTAAGTAATCTATGAAAATTAGTACGGTAATCTGGCTACTACTCTTTTTGCAGCTTGACGGCCTCTCAAGCCCGAACAACCACAAACTCACACATCCAGCAACAATCAAAGGGAACAAACAAGAAGTTCGAGCACAAAAAAAATGCTTTTTTTCAATGCCGCCACTTGAGAGTTGGGAGTAGCTGTGGACCAGGAGGAGGCCGTGAGAGGCCAGCAGGAAGCACTACAGGTCGTGCCTACCGCGACATCCCCGGGTAAGCACGTGACAGGCCCCGCGTCTCCCGCCAGTGGAGGAGACAACCACAACATCGAGCACTACGGCAGCCCGGGGCCATGATCTCCAGATCAAGCTCCGCGAGGTTGACGACGATATCGATGTGCTCCGCGAGGATCTCGCTGGTATTTGTGCAGCAGAAGAGGATGAAGGGATGGGGAGCACGAGATGAGGGCGGGAGAGGGTTGGAGCCGTGCGACTCGCCAGGATGGTAGAGGGTAGGACGCGGATTTTTAGAGCAGCTGCGTCGGGGCCGCGCTATCGTAGCGGTTGAATCATCGCTCTGTACCTCAAGATGCCCGTCACGGAATCCCATTTTAGTGCACACGTTACCGTGGCAGATGGCTGTTACGGTCATTGATGTCATAGGGGTACTGCTCCATCGTAGGTTCTGCAGAATTTTGTCCTCCACCTCCTCCTATGTACCGACGCGCACCCGTGACTTCGACTCACGACTCACTATACACACCACCCTGCTCGTTCCTTGACTTATCGTTCAATGGACGAAGTGCAAGGAGGCGATTCCATGGCGCCGGCGCGGAGCCGCCTGGAAATCACTCCGGCGGACGGCGATAGGTACCAATTAATAATCAATCAACCTGCAATACTGTTCGCTTTGCTCTTCTGGGGTGGGCTCCAGTTGAGCTATATTTCCCCTGCGAGGTTATGAATCCCCTTCCAATATGGATTTTGTGCCGGGCCACAGATCCAACTCCGCCGCCGGCAATCCAATCTTCTCAGGCAGTCCGGTAATGAAGGGGGCGCTCGAGAATCCCGGAAGATGCGCATATCCGAGATGCGACGGCAGACCCCAAGTATGATTTATCTTGTTTCGGAGCTAAATCAGTTGTATGTCAGTTCTCATGTTTAAGCTCATTCATGTCCTCAAATAATCTGGTCTCATTTGTGCAGTGTGCACACCGGATTAATAACGCCTCCGGCTACATTGAGGGGCGCTAATTCATGTGCTTACGGCCCTGTTTGTAATCCACATGTACCTGCTCCTGATTCTGAAAACCTCATAGTTGTGCCTGGATGGAAGAACAGGTAATAATTCGTCGACACAATAAAAATTATGTGTTTTTGTGGAGTACTGTATGAATCGGCCTGAAGCTTTACATGTGTTCAAGAAGACTGTTCTGAAAATCTTGTTTACTCCATTCGTTCCATAATAAAGAACGTTTCTTTTAATACCACATTAGTGTCAAAAAACACTCCTATATTATTTGACGTGGGGAGTACTTTGGTGTTTGAATCAAGGTATACAAAATTCAGTGGAATTCACATGATACCATAGACCCTATTGCATTCGACTTCATCAAGAATCTCCGTATAGCAATAATATCAGTGTTAGCAAAGTTTATAACATCCTGGATGGGGCCGAATGGAATTCGCAAGCAGTACCATATCGGAAACAAGTATTGCGGGCCCTATGTGCCAAATTCTTCCAAGAGTCAATTGTCTGATATTTTCGACAATTTGAGCGATTTATGATATGCTTGACCAACTGCCATCTTTGGGTCACAACTTTTGCAGTTTGTTCCATGCTGCAACAGGCAAGTGCTCGGCGCATATATTGAACATGTGCAATCCGTTGTGGCCAGAGAGAATAAGCCCGTGGGTGCGCCAATCTTTGTAACCAGAGAACAACTGGAGTATGAAGTCATGATCGATCATGGGGCTATTCGGACCAGGATTCATGGACCTGGCTGGCAGAGGTTTCTTGACGAGTACGCAGTGCGGCCTGGTGACATGGTGTATATATGCCTTACTCGCGGTGATGGAAGATTTTTCGTGGAAGTTGAGATGGGTGGCATAAGGCAAACCCCACTTCCTTATATCGGTAAGTTTAAGGCATCAAATCTGCGAGTCTGAGTTATCACTCTTTACTGAGTATTTTAAATTCTCTGAATTATTCGTCATGGCTTATAAAACTTGTGGTTTTGGCAGCTCTGAATGGCTTATCCCTTGTGCATCGCGAGCTCGTCGACCAGTGTGTGTACACTAGGGGGATACGGTTGGAATTTCCAGAGATGAGAAAGATGATCAGACGTGCTTTCACCCCCTTGGAAGATATATGTTGCATCTTTGTACACAAGATGACTGGTGTTGACATTAGAGGTGGCTACATGGTTAGTAAACGTATCTCTATTATCTTGACAAAACAAAAAGTTGTTTCGTAAGTCAAATTTAGTAAATGGCTGACCACTCATCTCTGAATGTCGTTGTTTGTATTTGAAAGAGGCTTCCGAAGAAGGCTGTTGATCTTATTGAAAGCAAAACGGGCCATATGGATAATTCAGGGAGTATTCTGCTGCATGACGATACAGGAGCCCTTGTAGCGGCTTCATTCAAAAAGGCAAACGATGGCAGACTCGTCATACAAGGAGGTTTTCCGAAGTGTGTCGGTCAGCTTGAACTGAAGGAAAATGATCTTGTTGTCATCACGTTCCACAGGCGTGGCATGGACTATTTATACATAGACATAGATGCCATGTTGAACTTGGGAGCAGCTCATATATGCTTGCTCTTTTGTGTACTTCGTCATGGATCGGATTTGTAGCACTTTCGGTGTGGTACGAAACTATGTGTAAGTTTCAACCTATCCAGCACCTGCGTCTACATCTAAGTTTGATTGGTGTGGAATTACCAATGGTCATATGCTCTGCTTTGAAGAGTATGGCATAAGTTTGATTACCTTTTTCTGTTGGATTTTAATCACATAAATGCATGAATGTAGATTTTTCACCAGATTTGATGTGAGCACCCCCCTGACTGCCATGTTACGCATCATGTGCCTGGCACCTGGACACATATCATGGGCCTCGCACGTAACACTTCACATTTGAAACACCAGCATGCTGGGCGCTTGCATCCTGTGCCTTGTACATGTCTCGTGTCTGTACCATACTCCACGGTGACATGATTGACAGCAGTTCGGAGACGTGGCAGGTACATGGATGCATAAGAAAAAATTGCAAAATGTGCCAGGCACATTACTCAATCTGGGACCTTGCCATTCCCATGATAAAAAAGGCTGGTGGTACGTCGGAAGAATATCATGCGCCAGGTACAACTTCCATCTCAATATGTACCAAGAATCATGAATTGTGTCACGACACGCACTGATCGTATGATGAATGGTGATCGTCCAATTATCACCGCACGTCTCTTTAGGAACCAATTATAAAAATATTTTAAATTTGTAAATCACAGCTCGGACATTCATCAATTGACCTCCCTAACGAAAAATGCGATAAATGGTTATGTCTGAGAAATGCAAATGTACCCGATATTAAGTTCGCTACATGGGTTGACAACAGAATTAACTAGTCTTCGTAGCCATATCGCACTATCGCAGCTCTCAATATCATATAACGCTTGCACCCAAAACAATCACCCCATACAAGTTGTGCCCCAAGATACTTCTTGGTTTTTCACCATTGCGTTACCCGCCTCTTCACTCTCATTCATTCATTCATCTATAGACTCGATAAATTGATGCGGCCTCTTTGCATTGTTTCCCTTGAGATGTAAAATGTCATAAAGATAAATATAGCGCCAAACATCCTTCATCAACCTGGGTATGAAAGAGAATAATATCATCAATCAATTCAGTGTTTGAGAAGCAAAAATGGCAACTTACAGCTAGAAATGCTTCGTTACTTTTTTCTTTTGTTGGAGCGCATATCCAGATCAGCACTCACCACATGAACTAAAAATAGATGTCTTTATAATTTGATTCATGCACTCTGTAACATATCAGTTCGTCTGTACTAACCATGCCACATTACCAACATTCGTCGATTCACCTAAGGTCATGAGCGTCCGCATCACAAAAAACAGCACAATAAAGAAAAAAACCTACTAGACATCTGACGTATTACCCATGACATTTGCATCCCGGGGCCCCTTTTCCTAAGAACAAAACGAAGAACACGACTATGCATGCATGTCATTTTACCTGCATGATGACGGCGAAAAATGAACAGCAGGCAGATAATGCTGACCCAACCCGGTTCCTATTTTAACATATCCAATGCTAGTCATCCTTCTAGTATTCGGCTAGAATCAAACAACGATCTAGGTGTATTATTACTCCCAATAAAACCACATCCCAACAGCAACAATGGCCTATGAAAACATAATCTAAGTTACATATTTACCCGTGGTGGATCCGGAGAATACACGACGGCGCAGGGCGTCACCGACAGTGTTGCGCGCTGTGCCCCGGCGCTGGATAAGCACCGGCGGCGAAACTCGTGCCAGTGCCGCCGGCCCGGAACCGCGGCTGGATGCGCGCCTCCTCTTGTCCCAGCCACTCGCGCCTCTGCTCAGATTTAGGTACTGTTCATGTTCTATCTCAGATGAATCCGCCTCTCCTGCCGCCAATCATGCTCCTGGGGATGGCTACTGCAAAAGGGAACGCATATGGACCAGAGTCACGGGCCGTGCAGCGGGAGTGTCCGGTAGTATCTATCCTTATCTCATTGTACAGTACCCTAGGGTAGGTCACGGTCCCGTCCCACTAATAACACGAAGGAGATAACCGTGGCAGGAGATTCTTACGGGAACGGCTGGCACATATCCTTAAGGATATGGACGCTGTTAGACTGTATTTACATGTGTATATTGTAACGTTGTATACCATCTCATTATATATATATATATATATGTGATAGGCCACCCCTAGAGGGTTGTGCCGGTTCCCCCCAAAGCCTATTGTCTTACATGGTATCACGCTAGGTTACGTCCGCTTCCGCCTAAAAACCCTAAACCGCCGCCGCCGCCGCCGCGCCCGCCGCCGCCGTCGCCCGATTGCTATGACGTCCGCCGCTGCGTCCGGCTCCACCGCCACCGGTTTTCTGCCGGCCTCCCTCGCGGCACTTCTCTCGAGGCCGCTGGATGCCGCCTCCCTTCAGGCGCCGATCGGGACACGGAGCGTCGGCTCCCTCTTCGCGCTCCCGCCGGCTGCTACTTCGCCCGGGCAGACGCTTGTGGCCCACACCACCGCCGCCCCGTCAACCGCGGCTGTCGCGCCCTCGGCCACTGCGCCGCTGGTGGCGGAGGACGTCGCGCTGGCAGGCTTCGCGGCGTCAACCGCGGCCATCGCGCCCTCTGTCACCGCGCCGGCTGCCCCTCCGACTGTCTCCACGGTGTTCTCACCTCAGCCAGTCTCCTCGATGGGATCGCAGCCGCCGCCGCCGTTTCACTTCGGCCATCTCATCACCATCAAGTTGTCGTCGGACAATTACATCTTCTGGCGCGCGCAGGTTCTTCCGCTTCTTGAGAGTCACTACCTGCTTGGCTATGTCGACGGCTCTCTCCCTTGCCCTCCTGCGCTGGTTGACAGCGTGCATGGTCCGGTCTATAATCCGGCTCACCGTGTCTGGACAGGGCAGGATCAGGCGAACCTCTCCTCCATCCAGGGGTCGCTCTCTCCGGCCGTTGCTGGGCTTGTTGTCTTCGCCAAGACGTCCCACGAGGCATGGACTATTCTTGAGCGCTCGTTTGCGGCACAGTCGCAGGCTCGTGTATCTGGGCTCCGTCGCCAACTTGGGGAGTGTCAGAAGCTTGACTCCACCGCCACTCAGTTCTACAACAAAGTCAAGAGTCTCGCCGACACGCTGGTCTCCATTGGACAGCCCCTCACCGACTCCGAGTTCAACTCGTTTATCGTCAATGGTCTTGATGAGGAGTATGACGCCCTAGTCGAGATCATCAATGAGAGGGGCAACTCCACGCCCATGCCAGCACACGAGGTCTTTTCACGCCTCCTGCTTACTGAGCAACGAGTCGAGACGCGCCGATCCAGGGGCAACGACGCCCTCTCGGCAAACGCCGCCACCAAGGGTGGTCGCTCCTCTGCTTCATCCAGGGCTCCTTCGGGGCAGTCACCACCACCCGCCTCGGCCCCTCCTCCTACTGCGACGCTACCAGGGGCTGGCGGTCCACGTATGTGCCAGCTTTGTGGTCGCGATGGGCACTGGGCCTCGAAGTGTCACAAGCGCTTCCAGCGGGGTTTTCTTGGTCTTGGCAATGACGGGAAGGATACACGCAACTTTGCTCGTCAGGTCGCCATGGCTGATCGTCCGCCGCCGCAGAAGCCACAGGGACACACTCAGTCCTACTCCATTGATCCCCACTGGTACATGGACTCTGGGGCGACAGAGCACCTGACCAGTGAGATGGGGAAGCTTCACACTCGTGAACCCTACCATGGCTCCGACAAGATCCACACCGCCAATGGAGCAGGTATGCACATCTCTCATATTGGTCAAGCATCACTTCTCACTAGACATGCCAATAGGAGTCTTCAACTTCGCAATGTTCTTCGAGTTCCATCTGTGACACGTAATCTTCTTTCAGTTCCTAAACTCACTCGTGATAATAATGTGCTTTGTGAATTTCATCCTTTTAATCTTTTTATTAAGGATCGGGGCACGAGGGACATTCTTCTTAGTGGGCGGCTCTGCCAAGGTCTCTATCGTCTGGAGCATCCTGGCGTCGCTCGCGTCTTCAGTGGAGTTCGGGTATCTCCGTCACAGTGGCATGCTCGTCTTGGTCACCCGGCCACACCTATTGTCCGGCATGTTTTGCGTCGTCATGAGCTTCCTAGTGTGTCTAGTAATAAAGATGTAGCAGTGTGTGATGCTTGTCAGCAGGGGAAGAGTCATCAACTTCCTTTTTCGGAGTCCAGTCGTGAGGTGAAACATCCTTTAGAACTTGTGTTTTCAGATGTATGGGGTCCTGCTCAGACTTCTGTTAGTGGTCATAATTATTATATCAGTTTTGTTGATGCTTACAGCCGCTTTACCTGGCTTTATCTTATCAAACGTAAATCTGATGTGTTTGACATTTTTGTTCAGTTCCAAAAACATGTTGAACGCCTTCTCAAGCACAAAATTGTTCATGTTCAGTCGGACTGGGGTGGCGAGTATCGCAACCTCAACTCCTTATTTCAGTCGCTTGGGATCACTCACCGTTTAGCATGTCCACATACACATCAGCAGAATGGTTCAGTAGAACGTAAGCATCGTCACATTGTTGAAGCTGGTCTGACTCTTTTGGCCCATGCATCTGTTCCGTTTCGTTTTTGGAGTGATGCTTTCACCACTGCATGTTTTCTCATCAATCATACTCCCACTCGTGTTTTGAATATGAAGACTCCCATTGAAGTTCTCCTTAATGAACAACCGGACTACACCTTTCTCAAGGTGTTTGGGTGTGCTTGCTGGCCCCATCTCCGTCCATATAAACAAGCGTAAGCTCGAGTTTCATTCCAAGAAGTGTGTTTTTCTTGGTTATAGCTCTCTTCATAAAGGATACAAATGTCTTCATGTTCCCACTAATCGTGTCTACATCTCTCGGGATGTTGTGTTTAATGAGCATGTTTTTCCCTTTGCCAACCTCCCTGTGTCCACTACCGAGCCACCTGTCATGCATTCATCCTCTGTTGCTTCTGACCAATTTGATGATGTTGCATATTCTCCTCTATTGTTGCCTAACCATGGTGCAGGCACTGGTCGTGGGGCTCGTTTGGAGATTCTGGAAGCGCCATCT